CAAAATACACCTCACAACATTGCTCTTGTTCTAGAATAATTTAATTTCATATAATGGCAACATCGATCATTCATCACGTTGACTTGAAAAGTGATCTGTCGAATTCACGCTACACTGATATAAAAGAAGAGCCTATCGACAAACTCTTGATGCCAATTGACGGTTATCAAGATGAGCCATTGGTGCCGTTAGAAGAGTCAGTTTCTCCAGTGACTCACCTGTTCACAAACTTGGCTCAATACATTTGGATTGCAAAACGCAATTGCCAGAAACCATTGGACGATCTAACACAAGATGAAAGTGCTGCTATTTATTTGTACACAATGCAGTTCCCACGAGACCAAAGCTTATATTTAATTCTAAATCGTTTTCTACGAACTGAAAATCGTGATGCACTCACTCCTTGGTTCAAATACTTGAAGTTATTCCTCACAGCTTTATTTAAGTTGCAATCGGTTCGCGCTACTGTTTGGCGAGGTGTACGAGGAGAAGATCTTAGCGATCAATATCCCACTGGTCACGAATTTGCTTGGTGGGGAATTACTAGTTGCACAGCGACCCCAGATGTCTTAGAAAAGACAAGTTTTCTTGGTAAAACTGGAGTTCGAACGTTATTTTCTATTGAATGTCTTAACGGAAAGTCGATCAAACAACATTCATATTTTAGTAAGACTGAAGAAGAAATTGTTTTATTGCCAGGAACATTCTTCAAAGTCGTTGGTCAAGTAAATCCCGCAGAAGGATTACATATTATTCATCTAAAAGAAATTCAGCCACCATTTGTGTTGTTGAAACCGCCATTCGATGGCTCAGAGCAGGTAAAATCTTCGTTGGATCTGCATAAATTGAAGAAAGCATCGAGACTATGCATAGTGAACGAATCATGTATTTCTCCCTTAGCTGCCAGCGATCAATCGCTATTATGTTGTTCGTCGGAATCTTTAACGCTTATGAATGTACAAGGTCAAAGCTTATTTACGGTTAAGCGAAGTTTTGCTATTCTTGACGTATGCTGGTCATCTTGTCTCCGCCAATTCCTTATTTTATCTGATACGAATGCACTCTATTCATTGTCTGATCAAACAAGAAAATTGTCAAAAATAGTCGTTTTCAATAGAAATAATGTTCGTAGTTGTACATGTAACACTCGCACATTGATGGTGAGCAACTATGATCACAAATCATTCATCGATGTGTATGACCTAAAATCTAGTTACAAATTGATTGAATCGTATGAGTTGCCAGTAATGGGCAAAAGTAATCAATATGTTGAAATGATTCGTCTGAGTGAAACGTATCTTGGTATTATGCTTAATCAGTTCTCTAACAAACGCAACTGGTTCGAACTACGTAACACAGATGATTTTAGTGTTTTACATTCAATTGACTTGGAGTATAATGATTATATCCATCGATTAATAGTCGTGCCAAATGATGAATTTTTGATGCATGTTCATGGTGGGAAAGAGCTGATGATGCTTACGAAAAATGGAATAGCTAAACTCGATGTTCATCCTAACTCGGCGAAGAAAGGAATAATGTCTATAGCATTTGTTGGTACCGAAAAATGCTTTATTATATCGACTAATGAACCATCAGAGTTACATTTTTATTCATTATGATTCGGTTTGAATGATTCGATCGAAATTTTGCTGAAAATTCTATAGACACCTACACATGTTCCCGTTTAATGGCTATCATTTTAAGTCTATCTGTGAATGGACTAGTAATTGTTGTTTTTGTTTTCGTATTAAAATCTATTGAATAACAAAACAGTTAACGTTTTCACTTCTAATCGGACCAACGTTGAATGGACGAGATTTACATTGATTTTACCACCCAAAGTCTGCATCTCTCAATAATTACGAATCGCCGACATGTTTGATGAACATCTTCTGTACGATAGCCATCCTATTCCGCGTGACAAGATGTTCTTGAAAATATCGATACCTCAAAGATACATGTCCAAGCATTTGATTGATAAACAAAGGAACTTTTAACAAAATTGACCGACTCTGAAACGTCATCGTAGAAATTAGTTCATAGTAATCTGTACATACTATTTCAAACCGATAAATACGGGTAAAATGTGTTGAGTGCTCTCAATCGTGGGTACGAAGTCATGCGTTCGACCATGAAGTAGATGGAATGAAAAACGAAAGGACTGGAATTTCGTAACAGCTAGTTGTAGTTGATTAAAATCGAATTCATATACATCACCCAAAGAAAGATGTTGGAGTTGCAGAAAATTACATGGCCGAATAATATTGAGTCGAGATGGAGAGATTTTGCGAAGATATGAACGATGGAACCACCATTGTCACACACCCATTATGAATATTTTTATAGATTTCATGCTTGACACCTTACTATTTGAGTTTATCATAAATGATGCTCATCGGAAAACTACGCACAATACTCGTAAATTTGTATAGAAAATAACTCATTTTTCAACTTTTACGTGCGACCGAGTTATTCTCTCGTCTTTATAGAAGTTTATACATATACTACTATTAGAAAAATTAGATAAACATTTTTGACTGGAGAACGGTATTCGGATCGAAACCAATGTGCCTTCTAGCATTTCTTTGTTTTGTTCATCAATCATCGTCATTGACCTAAACAATTAGCATGGAAATACTGAATGTGCTGTTCAGTTTTCAATAGTCGGTGTGGTTTCACTTGAATAGGGCTTGCATGGGCGGTAAGTAATTTTTCGTGTATAAAGGTGGAAAAAGTTCCGTTGCGAACGAAATTGCATTTCGCACAGGCGATGTATGTTGCATCGCGAGCACGATCGTAGACAAAATTAAATTGCCGAAGATATTGATCAACGAGCTTGTCGACAGTAAGCTGCAGAGTTTCATATAGTTGATCGTCGCCCAATTCGAAAAAGAAGATGTAACACGGCGGAAATGCATCCAACTTTGGATATGAAGTAAAATCAATAATATCTGCAATGATACCTTGTTGTCTCCATTCGTCGACGGTTTTTGCGATTGTGTCAATCAAATTCTGTTCGGTGGTTTTCTCACCGATGATATCTAAGAGATTTCCCATTCTGTATGCAACGGAAATGAGTGGAATTCGTGGAATTTGATGCAATTCACTTGGCAATGGAACTAAATCATCTGCACGTGTTAAAAATCGTGTACATTCAATTATATCTCCCATGCGATATCGAACTAAACCGGCTTCTGTCGTGCATACCAGTTCATACCGACAACCAGGTTCAATTTCAGAAAGAAGACAAGTTTTTGGTTGAGTCTCAACTTAGAATAAACACTAAACATTTCCAATGCTGATATCATCAATTACCTGATGTACGTCTTCTTCTCGAATGAACTCAAAGAAGACCGTTGTCGGTGACAGAACATATTCATCCGTATGAATACTGGCAATAGTACCAAGATATCCTTCACTAGCACTGTAAACTGTCAAATTGGTGAGGACTATTTTATCTCCACAATAGAATTGAGCTTGTTGCTTGTAACTGGAAAAGCTGCCACTCAGAGCAGTTGTTGCATATATCAGCTTGGGCCAAAGACGGTGAAGCAGGCCGGGTTCCTTTCTTTCCATACAGACTTTTCGAATATGTTTCGCGCGCTCTGATTGATAGGTCGTTCCGCCATATTCTAGAAGTGTTTCATACAAAGCTCGATTTAGACGCTTGATCAATTGACGATCATGAATTTTGCTTTGAACAATAACACTCGAATTGAAACTAGCTGAAGCAATGCATAAAGCCATTTCTTCTCGGGAAGTTTCAATTAGGTTAATCGTATGAATAAATTCTGGAGCAAATGTAACCGTATAGGAGAATAGATCTGGAATGGCTAAAGCGAAAACTAGTTGAACAAATAAGTTCGTATAAAAGTCAGGTATTCTTTCAACTAGATCGAGAGCAATTACACTGAAATTCGATGCAATTAATCGTACTCCGGGAAATGGTGAAACAACGGAAAGTATTTGACTGAGTGCGCCCATGGGTGTTCCATCTTTTGATCTTAAAAATGATTTTGCTTGTTGTCCACTTAATAAAACAAATGATCGTTGTTCAGGTACAGGATATGACGCGTTTGGAAGAGATCGCCATATGACGGATGGCGATATGCGGGCTAGTGTAAAATATTTTTCAATGATCTTTTTAGTTATTGGAATAGTTTTGGGTTTTCCGGTAGTTCCAGAACTTAAGGCAAAATAAATAATACGATCTGAAACAACTTGATTTGTCGCACCATGGAGAACTGTTTGTTCGAAATAGTCACGATAGTCGCTGTACGTTGTTAATGGGACTTTTTCACGGAATTCATCGACTAAAGTGTTTGGTTCACCTTTCGAGCATGAAAATGCAATGGATCGATCGCGAAAGAATGCACATGAGTGATTATTTCGTAAGATATTCTCTAATAGATCATTGTTAATCTTCTGCTGATGGCACAAAACCTTTCGATAGTAAGACACGAAAGCATCCGTATTCGATCCTTTCATATACGGATCCATTAACCATTGTCGAACTTGAATTCGAATCCATCTTTTCAGAATAACTCTGACTCGTGGTGAATACGAACTTAACAGCGCGATGCCCGTAAGACTAGTGAAGAACAATGAACACCATGCAACAACTTGACTTTGTTGGGTAATTGAGTTTCTAATAGTCGAGAGCACTGAGCCCATGTTTTCATAACAAGAACGAAAATGGTGCGAGATGGTAAAGAGTCTTGTATTATTACTTTATCTTATCTTCAATATCAACAAACGGCATGCTAGCGCACGTAGCAACTCTGACAAATAGTAATATGTAAAATTCACTTCGCAGACGATTGATTCCATTTGATCTACTGGATGCGCTACTTATTGTCTATGTGTACTATTGACTGAATTAGACTAGATTCAGTCTGCAAGACATTTTGTCGGAAAGCTGGTCGTTTGTACTGCAACTCCAGAAGAGTGCCATCAAATTAGCCTTGCACCCTCTCAATTGTGCATTTTTGTGATCTTCAAAAGACAATTCTTATCGCAATCATTTGTCAATCTACATAGAATCATCATCTATGAAAAATGCGCCTAAGAACACAACAGTATTGGCATTCAATTTTTCTTTATTAATTGTACGTCTTAAAATTGATGGCTCTCAAGGACGTCTATCTGAAAAAGCATTCAAATTTATTCTTTTTAAAGAAATTGTATTTTCTTCATTTCATAATCAAATTAATCCCATCGATACTCATTATAATTTGCGAAGCGCTTGAACACGAAATGAACGATATGATCGTTTTCCTTATCTATATAGCTTGTACATAATTCTCAGCCATTTCTACCGCGCTGAGTCAATAATATTCCTAAAGAAATGTCATCCTGCTGGCCATGGCTCAGTAGACCATATTCCCAACGACGCATCTTAAACTATCTGCGAAGTTTGATGTATAGACTATTAACTTGTTAGATGTCTTATGTGTCTTACATACTCATACGGTTCCCTTCTCTTTTCTTTCTGCTATAAAATCATAGCCAAATAAGCAGATCTCTCACTTTCTAGTAGAAATTCTTCTATAATATATTCAATAAATGACCAAAACAAAACAGATATGAACAAAGAGTTTGCCATGTCAATAACCGATGTAAACTTTTGAAATTTTCCACGACTGTCTGTTGTTCAAATTTGATCTTCCATTGTTGCACTCCACAGATTAATACACAAGAATTCACAAAAATAAGTACACCTTCCCACCAATGATAGTAATATCCAAGCAATATGCTATGGATTAGTCCACTTATGAATAAACAGATACAACTAAATCGAAAGGTTTTTCCGACGCCTAAGAAAATCGCCAAGGTCTGATCACCTTGTAGACGATCTTGTTCGATCTGATAGACTTGTGATAATGGATACGTACTGAGAGTTGTAAGCATGACCACGCATGCTCCCATCCAAAATTTGAATGCTGATATACTCACAGCGTTACGCGCATCAACAATAGTGCCGAAATAGTAGGTAAGAAAACCTTGCAATGCAACTACAGTGAGAGTACTCCAGAAAGGATCTCCTTTCAAACGAATCTTTGGATGAGAATAAGCAACAGACATGCAAATACCGATGAAAGTACCAATGACGAACTTCACCGATGATGAATATTTCATTGATAAATAAAAACCAATTAATTTCCATAGCCATGCGAAATAAAAGAGAGAACGTCCATGCACAGGTGGAGGATTTTCTAGACCACCGATGGGACCATGTTCATCTCGATCATAATAATCATTCAATGCATTCACACCACCGTAGATAAATACATGTAAAATAATAAATTCAATGAGAAAATTCCATGTAAAAATAGTTCCATCGGAAATGACAATACCATACAAGTAAATCGGTACTAAGAATAGAATGAATTTCAAACGTAAATGGATAAGGAAATTTTCTACGGTTAAATTCATTTAAATCAGCACTAATAATCTTGACGAAATAACTACTCAGGGTAATACCTTAGATAGAAAAAGAAATAATAATACTGTACTCTTTTTCGTTTTTTCTTTTCTATCAATTCACTTCGATAAAAGGCAACCACGTGGGAAAATGTATACTCTTACATTTATACTCGTTATTCATCATCGATAATCAATGAGTGTATTTATTTCAAAGTAAAATCAATGACAACCCTGCCATTGATCCTATAATTGATCATGTCCTCGAAAACTTGATTAATATCTTCTAGTTTACGCTTTTGAATTTTACACGAAATCTTATGTGCTTTGGCCATCGCTAAAGCTTCTTTCAAGTCTTCTCGTGAACCAACCATTGAACCAATCAATTGAATTCCTCGACAAACACAATCTATAATTGGTATGGACATCGTTCCATTAGGTAAACCTACAGCTACAATGCGACCACCACGTTTGACTGACTTATATGCTTCATCGTAAGCTTGAATAAGCGGAACAGTGACAATAGCTGCTTGCACTCCACGCAATTTGTCTTGAACCCATTGACTATGTTGATCACTCGGACCATCATAGACTGCAGAAACGAAAAGTTTATGAAGAACTAGTAACATGGCTTGAAACTAACCTTCACTGGCTCCCATTTCTTTTGATAGATTCACCGCGTTCTGTAAGCGAGAGAACACAAAAGAGTATAAACATATAATTATGTGAAATTTACTTGATCGTTTGGAGCTACAACAGCCAGAACTTTCATTCCCATAGCAACAGCGTATTTAATGGCCACAGATCCTTTTCAAATAGTGGATGATTTAGGGAGAGAAATAAAAGAAGTATGACTACCGAGACCGCCTACTCCAACGATCGATACCCATTCGTTTGGTGGAACCCCAGACATTTTCAATGCTTTGTATACAGTCACACCAGCACAAAAGAGTGGTGCTGATGTATAAGGATCCATTCCATCAGGTAGTTTGACAACAAAATCACTATCCATCAGTGTATATTCAGCAAGACAACCATCATACGAGAATCCAGTACCCATCAATTGTTCGCACAATGCTTCTTGACCCGATAAACAATACTCGCATTTAAGACAAGTCGAGTAAGTCCATGGAATACCCACAATATCTCGTATTTGTAGATGATTATCGACTTGCGAGCCTAATTCAATAATTTCACCAATGCCTTCATGGCCTGGGATACGAGGAAGAGAACATTTCTCATCCCAATCTTTATTGAAAATACAAAACAAGATGAATTTTAGACGTCATCTAATCATTGTTATGCTTTACCTCCTTTAGTAATATGTAAATCGGAATGACAAACACCGCAAGCGATATTTTTCACTAAAATCTCTTTGTTCTTCGGTTTAGGGATTTCCACCTGCTTGATCTCGAGAGGTTGTGTGAAACCTGTGATGACAGCTGCTTTCATCACTTGATACGGTAGTTTTTCTGACTGTGGTCTACTTACGCTGAATAAAGATGTCAAAAGGAATACATTTTTTGTCAATTCTCCTCAATCAATGAGGAGGATAAACGTCTTGATTGGATATCAGAAAGCCAAACAGAACCATCGAAAAATCTCTAGATGTCATCATCAAGTACTGCCGAGTTTCCATGCCAACTAGTCGGTTTTTTATTTTGATAACCCTTAGTCATTCCTTTACATACAGTAAAAACCTTATAACATCTGATAAAGAATTACATAAAAAAAAGTTTTTTGTATTCGAATCTCACGTGGTGGCTCGTCTTTATCAAAAATTTTATAGTAACGTGGGATTGTGTCGAATGAGATCTATTTAAAAAATTACGCTGCAATATTTTATCTTGAATTGCTTCTTAGCCAGGAAAAAACCAACAATATGTGATAAAAGAATGACATATAAAAACGCACGCTTTTCAACTAAAGTACACTCGCACTGTTCCGAAACAAGTAAAACGTTGACAATGACACGCAAGCATGTCATGTTGTGCTATGAATGGGGTAAACAAGATTTAGTCCTGCAAGTTCGTGAGTACTTGACAGAGAAGAGAATCGTAGTTTGGATGGATATCAAGTCCAATCGCTCATCGGATAACATATATGAAGAGTAAATTACCATACTGCATACGAGAAGACTGTCAATCCTCTTATTTTATATTTATAGTATTGCTACAGCTGTAGAAAATGCGTCTTGCTTGATATGTTTTTTGACAAAAGAATTCCAACAATCAGATTATTGTAAACTGGAATTGCAATATGCGAAAAAACGTAATATACCAATCATACCACTAAAATTAGTACAGAATTGGGAACCATCGAGCTGGTTAGGTATTATTCTCTTGTACATTTTATTCAGAAACAATACAAATCTGCATTCTTGTTGAATTAGGCCTCATAACAGCTGGTTTGATACATATAAATATTTACAGTACGCTTCGTTCTGAAGAAAGGCTCAGAGAATTATACGATCGCATATGTGTCACAATTGGTTCTCCATCGTCTTCGCAATATTCATCGAGGATGTACTTGAACGATAGCACATCAGTATCCGAAATATCGATATATTCTGCAGCTAGTGAAGCCGATACAGGTCCATACAACCTATAAACTTGGTCATTGTTTTTGTAACTTACATGTTGCTTTCTATATACTTGCAGATTCTTTGCGTTCAAAATGTAGTTTCAGTCAAACTCATTCTGCTCAAATGTCAGCTAGTGAAGCCTATACAGGTCCATACAACCTATAAACTTGGTCATTGTTTTTGTAACTTACATGTTGCTTTCTATATACTTGCAGATTCTTTGCGTTCAAAATGTAGTTTCAGTCAAACTCATTCTGCTCAAGTGTCAGCTGATCGACATCGTCGAAAACATCGTACAAGCTCCAGATGTCATCTACCTCCTGTTAATAGTACTGTCAGACAGATACCAGATAATCACAACTGGATTCAGCAATGGATGATAAGTTCATCCGAGGCAACGGATGATGACGCATCTACATGGATATCAACAGATATATCTGATGAAGAACTTTGTGATTCACAATTCTGATCTGAATGAAACAAAGACGCGACTTTTTTTTCAACATTTTTCTTTTTTGTTTTAATACTGACATCTCCGATTGGCTAAAAGCTTTTTAAAATTTCATATGTAATTAAACGAGTTGCACGTATATGCAACAATGAAGAATAGCGCCATCTGATCGAAGGCAACAATTGAATTCGATTAGTGGAATCACTTTCATTCTTCTTTGCAACATCGCTTACAAACTCGTATATTAAGTCAATAAATTCAAGTTGGAAGTTTCCAATGATGTTAAAGGATATAAATATATTTGACAGAAGCATTTGAAATGCATTAATAGTATACGAGATATGGCACAAAAACACGTTATGCTCTCCTATGAATGGACTGTACAAAAGTTAGTTTCAAAAGTTTATGATTATTTACAGCAAAAGGGGATACCATTATGGATGGATATTAAATCCGGTGTCTCCTCAGATGATCTATTCAAATGGTAATCAAATCTGATTTATTGGAACTGTTTTTCGCATATTTTCGCGTGTTTAGTATCGCTGAAGCCATTGAAAATACCACTTGCTTCGTTTGTTTTATGACACCTGAATACCAAAATTCGGACTTTTGTAAACAAGAATTTTTATACGCGCACAAACGTAAGGTACCAATCGTACTATTGAAGTTGGTGGAGAACTGGGAGCCGACAAGTTGGTTAGGTAAAGTATCGCTCGACTAGATTCATTAAACTTTGAATGCTTTTCCAGGTTTCGCAACAGTTGGCCTAGTCTGGCTTGATTTTTATCATATAGACAATCTTTCGAAAAAAACTAGTCGATTATACAAGCGTATTTGTCAAATAACTGGTAATCAAGTTCAATCATCTTCATCTCATTATGTCGAACTGATCCAGAAAACGCCGTCATCGCATTCATTACAAGTTTATGATTCAAATAGCCCATGTAAAAATAAATTACCTCGTGTATATCAATGAAACTATTTCGTTTTAGATAAACAACCTGTAATGGTTAAAATCAATAATAATTTCAGACATTCTGCTCAAAATCTCAACAGATCTGATAAACATATGATGAAACATGATGAGTCTCAAATACAAAGACCTCTGGTAGAAAGATTCGAACATTTTCATTTGTCCGACAGACCGACGATTACCAGAGACACTAGTATTAAGCAAAACAGACCGTCGACAACAAAACCATCAATGCGAATCTGTTCACATACGAATAATGAGGATAGTGATAAAGATCGTGATGCTTGCAAGTTCGGATGGTAATTCGTCAAGTTTTTTGCTATTTGGTTTATTTTATCGGTGCTCACTGCGAAACATACATTCATCGTTTCGATCTGACATTATTCGCTTTTTTTGTTCTGCCAAAAATCTTTCATGTCATTATTTTGTAATCAACGGACATACGTACGTGCATTTACATGTTCTATTTCGAGCGCTTTTCTCTCTTCTATTAATCACCGCCAATCGAAGGACGAAAAAAAAACATTTTTTTCTCTTTTCGAATGAATTGCTTCTTGTATATAATACTTTCATTCATTCAATTGAAACCAAAATGAATCAAAGAAAAAATTAACTCATTTTATGGTATTCGATGCCTGCCTTGCAAATCAACAACATTCATTGAAGAAACAAGAATAAAATCTGCCTGTATTTTTCTAAGTCGCATATTGCCTATATAAAGGAAGAAAGAAAGAAAGGGGATACACAACGGCTCGTTTAGTGAGTCGTCGACCATGAAGTTATTTTACATTTCTACAATCATCCATTCGATATTATTTCAATACAAATCGAGGACACTTTTGTATTGTACTTCTCGATTCTTTTTAGAAAAGAAATCATGACAACGACAAATACCACTATTCCGTTAGAAGCAGAACCTGCTCTTTCAGGTGAACAAGCCGCAGGAACACCTAATCCTGGTGCTAAAGTCAAAGGAGCGGGTGCAGTTTTAGCTAAAGTTGGAAGCTCACCTGTGTTTTTAGCTATTAGTATCATACTTTTATCGATTATACCGAGTAGGAAATCTATCTTGGTCTCCATCATACACGATCGCTTTATTTCTAGTTATACAAATATATATTGGTTGGACGTACGCCGAGGCGTGTCCAATTAATTACAAAATTCCACGATATCTCTTTATCGCTGGTCTTGTTGGCATTATTTCTTCGATACTAAGTCAAATTCGGAATTATCTGTCAGGGAAATCACCAGCGGAATCATCCGGAGAATTGTCTACTCGCAAAGCTGGTATTACTGCAGCAACTGCTACAAATAGTCCACTAGCTAAACTTATCACTCTGATTACGTGTTGTCTCAATATCTTTCTGTTGGTCTGGTTTGTTCTTGGCTGTATATGGGTATTTAGTGCTTGGAATCAAGTTCAGTATACTCATCCCCGCACAACAACATTTTGCAAGCCATTAGTCTATCGATTTGCTGCAGTTTCTCTATTCATTCCCATCATACTCTTATCTCTCTGTTGTTTTTGTCCACTATGCATAGCGTCAACGGCGCTTATGGACATGGCAGCGCAAAATGCTTAGTTTACGATCGTTTGATGGCGTAGGACTACAAAATACGATATTTTTATTAGATTTTTAGTTTTCAAAAATTCCTTTTCAGTAATTATCATAGAATATATACGCAAAAATGTGATTTATTCATCGGTTGACTGAAGATCGTATTACTAAATCGTCCCTCCACTATACACCCTCACCCTCATGTATATCGGAGCACACATCCGATTTCTCTCTGTTCTTTTTTTCGTAACTATACTCGAACATAATTTTTTTTATTAGTTTTGATAAAGAAAAAGACATTCGGAGCAGTATGTGTTCTAAAATTGACCCATGGTACGATTTGGATTAACCGAATAAATTTGCCAATCATCGATAACAAAGAGCCAGTTGAGTTCAACACTGTGAACGCCTTGAAACGGAGCATAAAGTTTCTGTTTTTGCCCATTATATCGAGCCACTTTGATACCTGCTATTTCCTTTCGTGTTGTATACGATCCATGATTCGTTACTCGCTCTTCAGCTCGAAAACTTCCGCCAGAGGGAATATCAGCAGTTGAAATTTCCTGATGATCACCCCGTCCATGAGCAGATGGTCCTTTGTATAAAATTTGCACTCGAACAGGACCATTGGAATTGTTTCTGATTGTACAACTATGTACTAGACGAGGAGCAGCAAGACCGACAACAGGCGTATTCATATCTTGTCAGGGGTAAAGTACTTGATTGGTATAAACGAAGTAATAAATAAATAATTGATACATGAATCCACTCATCCGTATATTTTCAACTGCGTACGCGAGAAATACATACATATGAATACAAAAAATAAAGATATTAATCAAAGCTCGGTGAATAATAGAAAATACGACGTCATTTCTACGCACTATCAATATTTATTAATTGATATAGGAAAAAAACGTTTTTATAAACATTTAACTTGAAGAACAGCTTCCTTTTTTTCACGAGTCTGTCCACCACCAGGGTATGGAATGACTTTCTCAAGAGTAATACTATATTTATTAGTACCAACAGTGACAATAGCATTATTTTGAGGATTTGCACCAATAACTAACTCAGCAGTACTTGACATTTCTGCTTTTGAAACAGCTATTTGCACTTTCGCTTGTCCAGTCCAAATACATTGTACATTCAACGGACATCGACTATCTCCAATAGATTCGACCATCACAACAAATATTCGATCTGCCGGATTGAGCGAGAATTATCGTGCACACCGATGCTGGTATCGGTATAGCACTCTTTGCATAGGTTACATGCAAAACAAATAACAAAACAATGAGTTTATACATAGAGAATACAATGACGTCTATATTCAGTATCAATCAGTGATGTTGAGAAAAGAATAAAGAAAAGGAATGGCTTTTGATTTAAATACTTCGTACAGAACAACGTAGATACACATACGATGTCAGAGGGTTTTATTTTAGTCTTGATCATTAAAGTCGATATTCTTTAGTGAGATTTTCTTCTCTCGCAGTTGTATATTGAATCATTTGTACGTCATCAACTAAATAAACTTTGATACGATGAGTGTATACAAGAAAGTGTGTGCGATAATAATAAAAAAGCGTGTAAACTAATCAAGGACATTTCAACATCATCCGAATGATATATTTTCAAAAACCTTGAAAGTGTCAGTTGTGCAGAGTTTTTTCTCTCGTATATTTGTATTCTGTCAAATGAATAAATTTTCTCTCGGTTCATAATTAAATACAGAAGAAATGTAAAGAAGCCAAAACAAACGCGCATAACATCGTTCCGACGAGAAGAGAGAGAGAAAAAAACTCTTGATTAGATGATCTGTCACTGTTGACATGCTCGTCTGTACATGAGAATCAAGGTGAAAGAATGCATAACTGAATTGCTCAAATGTTCATAATTTCGTGGTAAGAAAAGAGAAAGAATTGAAAAGAAAACAACAATGCATCAACATTTATTATTCATGCAGAATTATTTCTATTGGGTATTGACATCATTTCGAGTAGTTCGTAAAAGAGAAAGTTGTTATTCTTCGACTGTACATTTGAATTATTTTCTGTTTTAATAAATGCAGCCGTTGAAACACATTTTATGCAAACAAACGACTTTCTCTTCCAAGAGAAGAATACATATGTGTTAATCATCTTTCATTTACTCGTCGTGCATGACTTTGGATGTGTTCGAGAGCGAGTCGTTTGGGAACAATTGAAGTAATTATTTTTTTTCGATTAGCTCGCAGCTCGGTAGGTTTTTCCTCTCGATCTCCGCTGTTTTTTTACGCGTCAAATATTAACAACAGAAGCAGAGTAAATGAGAAATCGGCCGACAGATTTGTTTTCTTCTTATCATGAAAATTTGAGTTTGCTGATCGAACTTAATTTCATTTACTGCATCAAGCGAATTGCCGCAAGCGGTACTCAAATTTGAGTAGAGTAAAATGAAATCTTTTGAATTAACTTAGCTACTTGATTTATTGTTTTCATATTATGCATGAAATTTTTTGCTTGAATACCGTGGGTGTTTTTTTTTGTCATTTCTGTCCCCAATTCCTTCAGTGTATATTTATGAATAATAATACATTGTAAATTTGTTAGAATAAGAGAAAAAAAACGGAAAGAGAATCGGAGATGATTTGTCTACGAGTAGAATTGTGAAATCATTTCGTTTCTTTCCAGAACGTAAACACACCTGCATAATAAACGGAATATTCGTTACTGACACATTCAAAGCATTCATAACAACCATGAAATATTCAAATACAGTCCTGATTATTCTGATCTATCTAGCGATTTTCATGTAAGTATCTGACTGTACACTCTTCCCCTTAGAACTATGTCCTTTACTTTTCTCTCAATAGAAATCGAACACAGCAACAAACAACCGGTGGGTTTGTGTCCATGACTATTTTCTTGTTATTCATGTCAATGTTTTTGTTTTAGTCAACATAACAATAACAACATGTAATGATTTTTCATGCAATCTTCGGCGAACTCCATGTTCAACTAATCTTGACTGTGAATGTTTTGCTCCAGCATCGAATTCCAGCACAGGCATTTGTGCTTCAGCATTGATATCTTGTTCAAGCCTTCCGGCTTGTGATATGAATAATCGAACATGTTCTTATAGCGGTACAATATGTGTGCAGAATACACGTTGCGGTGAACCAGTTTGCTATCCAACACTTCTAGCAAGCACTTTGATTTGTCCACCTCTACCGACAAGTAAGATATATTCAATCTGATCATTACCACTGATGTTCAAATGAATATTGTCTTTCTCAAAATAGCGACAACAAGCACGACAAGTACCACTAGCACCTCAAGTACGACTAGTACCTCAAGCACGAGTAGCACTAGTAGCTCGACCAGTTCCACCAGTTCCACCAGCTCCACTTCTTCTACTAGTACCACTAGCACAACGAGTACAACTAGCACATCAAGTACGACTAGCACATCAAGCACAAGTAGTTCTACTAGCTCCACTAGTTCTACTAGTACCACTAGTGTCACCAGCACCACTAGCGTAACTAGCACAACAAGTACGACTAGCACATCAAGCACAACTAGCTCTACTAGTTCCACCAGCTCCACCAGTTCTACTTCTTCCACTTCCAGCACTTCCACGAGTACCACCAGTGCCACCAGCTCTACTTCTTCCACTTCTACTAGTACCACTAGCACCACCAGTGTCACTAGTGCCACCACTTCGACTAGTTCCACCAGCTCTACCTCTTCCACTTCTACTAGTACCACTAGCACCACCTCTTCTACTTCCACCACGTCGACTAGTTCCACCAGCTCTACGTCCGCCACTTCTTCTACTTCTACGACATCCACTAGCTCCACCAGCTCGACCAGTTCGACTAGCTCTACTAGTTCGACTAGCTCCACTAGCTCTACCAGCTCCACTAGCTCCACCAGCTCTACCAGCTCGACTAGCTCCACTAGTTCTACCAGTTCCACTAGCTCCACTAGTTCAACTACCTCAACAAGCACAACGAGTTCTACATCAAGTACGTAGAATTTCACCGTTTCTACCGACTAGAAGGCCGGTGTTCAACACTCTATTGGTTATTTTTTTATNCGGTTATCAAGACGAGTCGTTGGTACCGTTAGAAGAGTCAGTTTCTCCAGTGACTCACCTGTTCACAAATTTGGCTCAATACATTTGGATTGCAAAACGCAATTGCCAGAAACCATTGGGCGATCTAACACAAGATGAAAGTGCTGCTATTTATTTGTACACAATGCAGTTCCCACGAGAGCAAAGCTTATATTTAATTCTAAATCGTTTTCTACGAACTGAAAATCGTGATGCACTCACTCCTTGGTTCAAATACTTGAAGTTATTCCTCACAGCTTTATTTAAATTGCAATCGGTTCGCGCTACTGTTTGGCGAGGTGTACGAGGAGATGATCTTAGCGATCAATATCCCACTGGTCACGAATTTGCTTGGTGGGGAATTACTAGTTGCATAGCGACCCCCAGATGTCTTAGAAAAGACAAGTTTTCTTGGTAAAACTGGAGTTCGAACGTTATTTTCTATTGAATGTCTTAACGGAAAGTCGATCAAACAACATTCGTATTTTAGTAAGAGTGAAGAAGAAATTGTTTTAATGCCAGGAACATTCTTCAAAGTCGTTGGTCAGGTAAATCCTGCAGAAGGATTACATATTATTCATCTAAAAGAAATTCAGCCACCATTTGTGTTGTTGAAACCGCCATTCGATGGACCAGAGCAGGTAAAATCTTCGTTGGATTTGCATAAATTGCAGAAAGCACCGAGACTATGCATAGTGAAAGAATCATGTGTTTCTACCTTAGCTGCCAGCGATCAATCGCTACTATGTTGTTCGTCGGAATCTTTGACGCTTATGAATGTACAAGATCAAAGCTTATTTACGGTTAAGCAAAGTTTTGCTATTCTTGACGTGTGCTGGTCATCTTGTCTCCGCCAATTTCTTATTTTATCTGATACGAATGCACTCTATTCATTGTCTGATCAAACAAGAAAATTGTCAAAATAGTCGTTTTCAATAGAAATAATGTTCGTAGTTGTACATGTAACACTCGCACATTGATGGTGGCCAACTATGACTACAAATCATTCATCGATGTGTATGACCTAAAATCTACTTACAAATTGATCGAATCGTATGAGTTGCCGGTAATGGGCAAAAGTAATCAATATATTGAAATGATTCGTCTGAGTGAAACGTATCTTGGTATTATGCTTAATCAGTTCTCTAACAAACGCAACTGGTTCGAACTACGTAGCACAGATGATTTTAGTGTTTTACATTCAATTGACTTGGAGTATAATGATTATGTCCATCGATTAATAGTCGTGCCAAATGATGAATTTTTGATGCATGTTCATGGTGGGAAAGAGCTGATGATGCTTACGAAAAATGGAATAGCTAAACGCGATGTTCATCCTAACTCAGCGAAGAAAGAAATAATGTCTATTGCATTTGTTGGTACCGAAAAATGCTTTATTATATCGACTAATAAACCATCAGAGTTACATTTTTATTCATTATGATTCGTTTTGAATGATTCGATCGAAACTTTGCTGAAAATTCTATAGACACCTACATATGTTCCCGTTGAATGACTATCATTTTAAGTCCATCTGCGAATGGACTAGTAACGTTTTTTTTTTGTTTTCGTGTTAAAATCTATTGAATAACAAAGCAGTTAGCGTTTTCACTTCTAATAGGGTCAGCGTTGAATGGACGACATTTACATTGACTTTACCATCCAAAGTCTGCATCTCTCAATAATTAAAAATCGACGACATGTTCGATGAATATCTTCTGTACGATCGCCATCCTATTTCGCGTGACAAGATGTTCTTGAAAATATCGATACCTCAAGGATACATGTCGAAGTATTTTATTGACAATGAGAATCATAAAGATCGTCCAAGCTGAAGCGCGAATGTGCAAATTTGATTGATAAACAAAGGAACTTTTAAAAAATTTGAGCGATTCTGAAACATCATCGTAGAAATTAGCCCATAGTAATCTGTACATACTATTTCAAGCCGATCAAATACGGGTAAAATGTGTTGAGTGCTCTGAATTGTCGGTATGAAGTCATGCGTTTGACAATGGGGTAGATAGAATGAAAATCAAAAGAACTTCAATTTCGTGACAGCTACTTGTAGTTGATTAAAATTGAATTCATATACATCACCCAAAGAAAGATGTTGGAGTTGCAGAAAATTACACGGCCGAATAATATTGAGTCGAGACGGAGAGACTTTGCGAAGATATGTAAGATGGAACCACGATTGTCACATACCCATTATGAATATTTTCTTAGATTTCATGTTTGACAACTTACTATTTGAGTTTATCGTAAATGATGATCGTTGGAAAACTACGCACAATACTCGTAAATTGGTATGGAAAATAACTCATTTTTGAACTTTTACGTGCGATCGAGCTATTCTTTTCTCTTTATAGAAGTTTATACATATACTAATATTAAAAAAATTAGATAAATATTTGTGACTGAAGAGCAGTACTTCGATCGAAACCAATGTGCCATTTAGCATTTCTCTATTTTGTTCATCAATCATCGTTATTGGCCTAAACAATTCGCATGAAAATACTGAATGTGCTGTTCAGTTTTCAATAGACGGTGTGGCTTCACTTGAATAGGGCTAGCATGGACGGTAAGTAGTTTTTCATGTATGAAGGTGGAAAAAGTTCCATTGCGAACGAAATTGCATTTCGCAGGAGCGATGTATGTTGCATCTCGAGCACGATCATAGACAAAATTGAATTGTCGAAGATATTGATCAACGAGCTTGTCGACAGTAGACTGCAGAGTTTCATATTGTTGATCGTCGCCCAATTCGAAAAAGAAGATGTAGTACGGCGGAAATGCATCCAACTTTGGATATGAAGTAAAATCAATAATATCTGCAATGACACCTTGTTGTCTCCATTCGTCGACGGTTTTTGTGATTGTGTCAATCAAATTCTGTTCGGTGGTTTTCTCGCCGATGATATCTAAGAGATTTCCCATTCTGTATGCAACGGAAATGAGTGGAATTCGTGGAATTTGGTGCAATTCGCTTGGCAATGGAACTAAATCATCTGCACGTGTTAAAAATCGTGTACATTCAATTATATCTCCCATGCGATATCGAACTAAACCAGCTTCTGTCGTGCATACCAGTTCATACCGACAATCAGGTTCAATTTCAGAAAGAAGACAAGTTTTGGGTTGACTCTCAACATAGAATAAACACTAAACATTTCCAATGCTGATATCATCAATTACCTGATGTACGTCTTCTTCTCGAATGAACTCAAAGAAGACCGTTGTCGGTGACAGAACATATTCATCCGTATGAATACTGGCAATAGTACCAAGATATCCTTCACTAGCACTGTAAATTGTCAAATTGGTGAGGACTATTTTATCTCCACAATAGAATTGAGCTTGTTGCTTGTAACTGGAAAAACTGCCACTCAGAGCAGTTGTTGCATATATCAGCTTGGGCCAAAGACGGTGAAGCAGGCCGGGCTTCTTTCTTTCCATACAAACTTTTCGAATATGTTTTGCGCGCTCTGATTGATAGGTCGTTCCGCCATATTCTAGAAGTGTTTCATACAAAGCTCGATTTAGACGATTGATCAATTGATGATCATGAATTTTGCTTTGAACAATAACACTCGGATTGAAACTAGCTGAAGCAATGCATGAAGCCATTTCTTCGCGGGAAGTTTCAATTAGGTTAATCGTATGAATAAATTCAGGAGCAAATGTAACCGTATAGGAGAAGAGATCTGGAATGGCTAAAGCAAAAACTAGTTGAACAAATAAATTCGTATAAAAGTCAGGTATTCTTTCAACTAGATCGAGAGCAATCACATTGAAATTCGATGTGATTAATCGTACTCCGGGAAATGGTGAAACAACGGAAAGTATTTGACTGAGTGCGCCCATGGGTGTTCCATCTTTTGATCTTAAAAATGATTTTGCTTGTTGTCCACTTAATAAAACAAATGATCGTTGTTCAGGTACAGGATATGACGCGTTTGGAAGAGATCGCCATATGACGGATGGCGATATGCGTGCTAGTGTAAAATATTTTTCAATGATCTTTTTAGTTATTGGAATAGTTTTGGGTTTTCCCGTGGTTCCAGAACTTAAGGCAAAATAAATAATACGATCTGAAACAACTTGATTTGTCGCACCATGGAGAACTGTTTGTTCGAAGTAGTCACGATAGTCGCTGTACGTTGTTAACGGAACTTTTTCACGGAATTCATCGACTAAAGTGTTTGGCTCACCTTTCGAGCATAAAAGTGCAATGGATCGATCGCGATAGAATGCGCATGAGTGATTATTTCGTAAGATATTCTCTAATAGATCATTGTTAATCTTCTGCTGATGGCACAAAACATTTCGATAGTAAGACACGAAAGCATCTGTATCCGATCCTTTCATATACGGATCCATTAACCATTTTCGAACTTGAATTCGAATCCATCTTTTCCGAATAACTCTGATTCGTGATGAATACGAACTTAACAACGCGATGCCCGTAAGACTAGTGAAGATCAATGAACACCATGCAACAACTTGACTTCGCTGGGTGATTGAGTTTTTAATAATCGAGAGCACTGAGCCCATGTTTTCATAACAAGAACGAAAGTGGTGCGAGATGGTAAAGAGTCTTGTATTATTACTTTATCTTATCTTCGATATCAACAAACGGCATGCTATAGCACACGTAGCAACTCTGACAAATAATAATATGTAAAATTCACTTCGCAGACGATTGATTTCATTTGATCTACCGGATGCGCTGCTTATTGTCTATACGTACTATTGACTGAATTAGACTACATTCAGTCCGCAAGACATTTTGTCGGAAAGCTGGTCGTTTGCATTGCAACTTCAGAAAAGTGACATCAAACTAGCTTTGCACTCTCTTAATTGTGCATTTTAGTGATCTTCAAAAGACAATTCTTATCGAAATTATTTGTCAATCTACATAGATTCGTCATCTATGAAAATGCGCCGAAGGACACGATAGTATTGGTATTCAATTTTTCTTTATTAATCAATAGTTTTGATTGGAAACAAGAAGAACGCATACTTTTTGTACGTCTTAAAACTGATGGCTCTCAAAGACGTATATCTGAAAAAGCATCCAAATTCATTCATTTAAACGAAATTATATTTTCTATATTTCATAATCAAATTAATCCCATTGATACTCATGATAATTTGCAAAACGCTTGAACACGAAATGAATGATATGAATGTTTTCCATATCCGTAAAGCTTTTGTACATAATTCTCAGCCATATCTACCGCGCTGATTCAATAATACTTCTAAAGACGCGTCATCCTGTTAATCATAACTCAGTATATCATATTCCCAATGACGCATCTTAAACTATCTGTGAAGTTTGATATATAGACTATTAAATTGTTAGATGTCTTATGTGTCATACATACTAACACGGTTCCCTTCTCTTTTCTTTCTGCTATAAAATCATAGTCAAATAAACAGATCTCTCACTTTCTAGTCGAATTTCTTCTATAATATATTCAATAAATGACCAAAACAAAACAGATATGAACAAATAGTTTGCCATGTCAATAATCGATGTAAACTTTTGAAATTTTCTACGACTGTCTGTTGTTCAAATTTAATCTTCCATTGTTGTACTCCATAGATTAATGCACAAGAATTCACAAAAATAAGTACACCTTCCCACCAATGATAGTAATATCCAAGCAATATGCTATGAATTAGTCCACTTAGGAATAAACAGATACAACTAAATTGAAAGGTTTTTCCGACACCTAAGAAAATCGCCAAGGTCTGATCACCTTGTAGACGATCTTGTTCGATCTGATAGACTTGTGATAATGGATACGTACTGAGAGTTGTAAGCATGATCACGCATGCTCCCATCCAAAATTTGAATGCTGATATACTTGTAGCATTACACGTATCAACAATAGTGCCGAAATAGTAAGTAAGAAAACCTTGCAATGCAACTACGGTGAGAGTACTCCAGAAAGGATCTCCTTTCAAACGAATCTTTGGATGAGAATAAGCAACAGACATGCAAATACCGATGAAAGTACCAATGACAAATTTCATAGATGATGAATATTTCATTGATAAATAAAAACCAATTAATTTCCATAGCCATGCCAAATAAAAGAGAGAATGTCCATACACAGGTGGAGGATTTTCTAGACCACCGATGGGACCGTGTTCATCTCGATCATAATAATCATTCAATGCATTCACACCACCGTAGATAAATACGTGTAAAATAATAAATTCAATGAGAAAATTCCATGTGAAAATAGTTCCATCGGAAATGACAATACCATACAAGTAAATCGGTACTAAGAATAGAATGAATTTCAAACGTAAATGAACAAGGAAATTTTCTACGGTTAAATTCATTTGAATCGGCACTAATAATCTTGACGAAATAACTACTCAAGGTAATGCTTTAGATAGAAAAAGAAATAATAATAATACTGTACATTTTTTCTTTTTTCTTTTCTATCAATCCATTTCGATAAAAGGCAACCGCGTGGGAAAATGTATATTCGTACATTTATACTCGTTATTCATCATTGATGATGAATAAGTGTATTTATTTTAAAGTAAAATCAATGACAACCCTGCCGTTGATCCTATAATTGATCATGTCCTCGAAAACTTGGTTAATATCTTCTAGTTTACGCTTTTCAATTTTACACGAAATCTTATGTGCTTTGGCCATCGCTAAAGCTTCTTTCAAGTCTTCTCGTGAACCAACCATTGAACCAATCAGTTGAATTCCTCGACAAACACAATCAGTAATTGGTACGGACATCGTTCCACTAGGCAAACCAACAGCTACAATACGACCACCACGTTTGACTGACTTATATGCTTCATCATAAGCTTGAATAAGCGGAACAGTAACAATAGCTGCTTGCACTCCACGCACTTTGTCTTGAACCCATTGACTATGTTGATCACTCGGACCGTCATAGACTACAGGAAACGGAAAGTTTATGAAGGATGAATACATGGCTTAAAACTAACCCTCGCTGGCTCCCATTTCCTTTGATAGATTCACCGCGTTCTGTAAGTGAGAGAGCACAAAAGAGTATAAACATATCATTATGTGAAATTTACTTGATCGTTTGGAGCTACAACAGCCAGAACTTTCATTCCCATAGCAACAGCGTATTTAATAGCCACAGATCCTTTTCAAATAGTGGATAATTTAGGAAGAGAGATAAAAGAAGTATGATTACCGAGACCACCCACTCCAACGATCGATACCCATTCGTTTGGTTGAACCCCAGATATTTTCAACGCTTTGTATACAGTCACACCAGCACAAAAGAGTGGTGCTGATGTATAAGGATCCATTCCATCAGGCAGTTTGACAACAAAATCACTATCCACCAATGTATATTCAGCAAGACAACCATCATACGAGAATCCAGTACCCATCAATTGTTCGCACAATGCTTCTTGACCTGATAAGCAATACTCGCATTTAAGACAAGTCGAGTAGGTCCATGGAATACCCACAATATCTCCTATTTGTAGATGATTATCGACTTGAGAACCTAATTCAATAATTTGACCAACGCCTTCATGGCCTGGGATACGAGGGAGAGAACATTTCTCATCCCAATCTTTATTGGAAATACAAAACAATATGAGTTTTAGACGTCATCATGATCATTGTGAGACCTTACCTCCTTTGGTAATATGTAAATCGGAATGGCAAACACCGCAAGCGATGTTTTTCACTAAAATCGCTCTATTTTCCGGTTTAGGGATTTCCACCTGTTTAATCTCGATAGATTGTGTGAAACCTGTGATGACAGCTGCTTTCATCTTTTGATACGATTGTTTTTCTGCCTGTGACCTACTTACGCTAAATAACGATTTCAAAAGGGATAAGTTTTTTTCTCAATTCTTCTCAATCATAGTACGGAGGATAAACGTCTCGATTGGATGTCAGAAAGCCAAACAGAACTATCGAAAAACCTCTAGATGTCATTATCAAGTACTGCCGAGTTTCCATGTCAACTAGTCGGTTCTTTAGTTTGATAGTCCTTAGTCATTCTTTCACATACAGAAAAAAAACTTCTAATATCCGATAAAGAATTGCACTAAACAAAAATATGTTTCTTGTATTCGAATCTCACGTGGTGGCTCGGCTTTATCAGTAATTTTATAGTAACGTGGGATCGTATCGAATGAGATCTATTTAAAAAAGTGCGCTGCAACATTTTATCTTGAATTACTTCCCAGCCTGGAAAAAACCAACAATATGCGATAAAAGAATGACATATAAAAATGCACGCTTTTCAGCTAAAGTACACTTGCACTGCTTCGGAACACGTAAAACGTTGACAATGACGCGCAAGCATGCTATGTTGTGCTATGAATGGAGTACACAAAATTTAGTCCTGCAAGTTCGTGAATACTTGACAGAGAAGGGAATCGCAGTTTGGATGGATATCAAGTCCAATCGCTCATCGGATAACATATATGAAGAGTAAATTACCCTGCTGCATACGAGAAGACTGTCAATCATCTTATTTTATATTTTTAGTATTGCTACAGCTGTAGAAAATGCGTCTTGCCTGATATGTTTTATGACACTAGAATTTCAACAATCAGATTATTGTAAGCTGGAATTGCAATATGCGAAAAAACGTAATATACCGATCATACCACTCAAATTAGTGCAGAATTGGGAACCATCGAGCTGGTTAGGTATTATTCACTTGTACGTTTTACTCAGAAACAATACAAATCTGCATTCTTGTTGAATTAGGCCTCATAACAGCTGGTTTGATACATATAAATATTTACAGTACGCGTCGTTCTGAAGAAAGACTCAGAGAATTATACGATCGCATATGTGTCACAATTGGTTCCCCATCGTCTTCGCAATATTCATCGAGGATGTACTTGAACGATAGCGCATCAGTATCCGAAATATCGATATATTCTGCAGCTAGTGAAGCCGATACAGGTCCATACAACCTATAAACTTGACCATTGTTTTTGTAACTTACATATTGCTTCCTATATACTTGTAGATTTTTCGCGTTCAAAATGTAGTTTCAGTCAAACTCATTCTACTCAAACTTCAGCTGATCGACATCGTCAAAAACATCGTACAAGCTCCAGATGTCATCTACCTCCTGTTAATAGCACTGCCAGACAGATATCAGATAATCACAACTGGATTCAGCAATGGATGATAAGTTCATCCGAGGCAACGGACGATGTTGCATCTACATGGATATCCACTGATATATCTGATGAAGAACTCTGTGATTCACAATTCTAATCTGAATAAAACAAAGACGACTTTTTGTCATTTTTCTTTTCTGTTTTAATTCTGATATCTTCGATTGGCTAAAAACTTTTTAGAATTTCATATGTAATTAAACGAGTTGCATATATATATAACAATGAAGAATAGCGCCATCTGATCGAAGGCAACAATCGAATTCGATTAGTGAAAATCACTTTCATTCTTCTTTGCAACATCGCTTACAAATTCGTATATTAAGTCAATAAATTCAAGTTGGAAGTTTCCAATGATGTTAGAGGATATAAATATATTTGACAGAAGCATTTGAAATGCATTAATAGTATACGAGATATGGCACAAAAACACGTTATGCTCTCCTATGAATGGACTGTACAAAAGTTAGTTTCAAAAGTTTATGATTACTTACAGCAACAGGGAATACCATTATGGATGGATATTAAATCCGGTGTCTCGTCAGATGGTCTATTCGAATGGTAATCGAATCTGATCCATTGGAACTGTTTTTCGAATATTTTGAGTGTTTAGTATCGCTGAAGCCATTGAAGATGCCACTTGCTTCGTTTGCTTTATGACGCCTGAATACCAAAATTCGGATTTTTGTAAACGAGAATTTTTATATGCACACAAATGTAAGGTGCCAATCGTACTATTGAAGTTGGTGGAGAATTGGGAGCCGACAAGTTGGTTAGGTAAAGTATCGCTCGATTAAATTCATTAAACTTTAAATGCTTTTCCAGGTTTCGCAACAGTTGGCCTAGTCTGGCTTGATTTTTATCATGCAGACAATCTTTCGAAAAAAACCAGTCGATTATATAATCGTATTTGTAAAATAACTGGTAATCAAGTTCAATCATCTTCACCTCATTATGTCGAACTGATCCAGAAAACACCGTCATCGCATTCATTACAAGTTTCTGATTCGAATAGTCCATGTAAATATAAATTACCTCGAATATATTAATGAAACTATTTCGTTTCAGATAAACAACCTGTAATGGTCAAAAGCAATAATAATTTCAGACATTCTGCTCAAAGTCTCAACAGATCTGATAAACATATAATGAAACATGATGAGTCTCCAATACAAAGACCCCCGGTAGAAAAATTCGAACATTTTCATTTTTCTGACAGACCAACGATTACCAGAGACACTAGTAAGCAAAAGAGACCGTCGACAACAAAACCATCGATGCGGATCTGTTCACATATGAATAATGAGGATAACGATAAAGATCGTGATGCTTGCAAGTTCGGATGGTAATTTGTCAAGTTTTTCACTATTTGTTTTTTTTAAATTTACGAAATAAACGATCAATGATAATGTTGTTTAAAAAAGACCAACTTTTAGTTGGTGCTCACTGCGAAACATATATTCATCGTTTCGATTTGACATTGTTCGCTTTTTTCTGTTCTGCCAAAAAACTCTTCTGTCATCATTTTCTAATCAACGGACGTATTTACGTGCATTTACATGTTCTATTTCGAGCGCTTTTCTCTCTTCTATTAATCACCGTCAATCGAAGGACGAGGAAAAAACATTTTTTTTCTCTTTTCGATTCAATTCTTTGCGTTTATACATAATGGCCAGAACGACAAGCACTTCGCTCTATAATTAATCGCATGAACAACAACAAACAAACCGCTCCTCTCTTTTCGAATGAATTGCTTCTTGTATAATAGTTTCATTCATTCAATTGAAACCAAAATGAATCCAAGAAAAAATTAACTCATTCTATGGCATTCCCTTAATGCATTCGATGTCTTCCTTGCAATTTAACAACATTCATTGAAGAAAGAAGAACAAAATCTGTCTGTATTTTTCTAAGTCGCATATTGCCTATATAAAGAAAGAAAGAAAGAAAGGGGACACACAACGACTCGTTTAGTGAGTTGTCGACCATGAAGTTGTTTTATATTTCTACAATCATCCATCCGCTATCATTTCAATATAAATCGAGGACACTTGTATTGTACTTCTCGATTTTTTTTAAGAAAATAAATCATGACAACGACAGACACCGCTATTCCGTTAGAAGCAGAACCTGCTCTTCCAAAAGAACCAGCCGCAGAAACATCTAATCCTGGTGCTAAAGACAAAGGAGCGGGTGCAGTTTTAGCTAAAGCTGGAAGCTCACCTGCGTTTTTAGTTATTAATATCGTGCTTTTATCGATTATACCGAGTAGGAAATCTATCTTGGTCTCCATCATACACGATCGCTTTATTTCTAGTTATACAAATATATATTGGTTGGGAGTACGCCGAGGCGTGTCCAATTAATTACAAAATTCCAAAATATCTCTTTATTGCTGGTCTTGTTGGCATTATTTCTTCGATACTAAGCCAACTTCGAAATTATCTGTCAGGAAGATCATCAACGAAATCATCCGGAGAAGTGTCTACTCGTAAAGCTGGTATTACTGCAGCAACTGCTACAAATAGTATAATAGCTACACTTATCACTGTGATTACGTGCTGTCTCAATATCTTCCTGTTGGTCTGGTTTATTCGCGGCTGTATATGGGTATTTAGTGCTTGGAATCAAGTTCAGTATACTCATCCCAACGCAGCAACATTTTGCAAGCCATTAGTCTATCGATTTGTTGCGGTCTCTCTGTTCGTTCCCATCATACTCTTATCTCTCTGCTGTTGCTGCCCACTATGCATAGCGTCAACGGCGTTTATTGGCATGGCAGCGGAAAATGCTTAGTTTGTGATTGTTTGATGGCTTCAGACTACAAAATACGATATTTTTTCTTAGATTTTTAGTTGTCAGAAATTCCTTTTTAGTAATTATCATAGAATATATACGCAAAAATGTGATTTATTCATCGGTTGACTGAAGGTTGTATCACTAATTCGTCCCTCCACTATACACCCTTACCCTCATGTATTGCGAAACACATATCCGATTTCTCACTGTTCTTTTTTTTTGTGACTATACCCGAAAATAAGTTTTTATTAATTTTGATAAAGAAAAAGAAATTCGGGGAGGTATATGTTCTAAAATTGACCCATGGTAGCATTTGGATTAACCGAATAAATTTGCCAATTATCGATAACGAAGAGCCAGTTGAGTTCAACACTGTGAACGCCTTGAAACGGGGCGTAAAGTTTCTGTTTTTGCCCATTATATCGAGTCACTTTGATCCCTGCTATTTCCTTTCGTGTTGTATACGATCCATGATTTGTTACTCGCTCTTCAGCTCGAAAACTTCCGCCAGCGGGAATATCGCCAGTCGAAATTTCCTGATGATCACCCCGTCCATGAGCAGATGGTCCTTTGTATAAAATTTGCACTCGAACAGGACCATTGGAATTGTTTCTGATTGTACAACTATGTACTAGACGAGGAGCAGCAAGGCCAACAACAGGTGTATTCATATTTTGACAGGGTAAGTACTTGATTGGTATAAACGAAGTAATAAACAAATAATTGATATATGAATCCACTCATCCGTATATATTCGACCGCGTACGCGAAAAATACATACATATGAATACAAAAAATAAAGATATTAATCAAAGCCTGTCGAATGATAGAAAATACGACGTCATTTCTACGTACTATCAATATTTATTTATTGATATGGAAAGAAAAGGTTTTTATAAACATTCAACTTGAAGAACAGCTTCCTTTTGTTCACCAGTCTGTCCATCACCATGGTATGGAATGACTTTCTCAAGAGTAATACTATATTGATTAGTACCAACAGTCACAATAGCATTATTTTGAGGATTTGCACCGATAACTAACTCAGCAGTACTTGACATTTCTGCTTTTGAAACAGCTATTTGTACTTTCGCTTGTCCAGCCCAAATACATTGTACATTCAGCGGACATCGACTATCTTCAATAGATTCGATCATGATTTGCGCATCGCAACAAATATTCGATCTGTCGGATTGTGCGGGAATTATTGTGTACACTGATTCTGGTATCGATATAGCACTCTTTGGATAGGTTATATGCAAAACAAATAATAAAACAATGAGTTTATACATGGAGAATGTAATAATGTTTATATTCATTATCAATCAGTTGTGTTGAGAAAAGAAAAGAAATGACTTGATTTAAATACTTCGTACATGAACAACGTAGATGCACATACGACTTCAGAGGGTTTTACTGTAGTCCCGATCATCAAAATCGATATTCTTTAGTGAGATTTTCTTCTCTCTCAATTGTATATTGAATCATTTGTACGTCATCAACTAAATAAACTTTGATATGAGGAGTGTATACATGAAAGTGTGTGCGATAATTTAAAAAAACCATGTAAACTAATCAAGGACATTTCAACATCATCCGACTGATATATTTTCAAAAACCTTGAAAGTGTCAGTTGTACAGAGTTTTCTCTCTCGTATATTTGTATTCTGTCAAATGAATAAATTTTCTCTCGGTTCATAATTAAATACAGAAGAAATGTAAAGAAGCCAAAACAAACGCGCATAACATTGTTCCGACGAGAAGAAAGAGAGAGAGAGAGAGAGAAAACTTTTGATTAGTTGATCTGTCATTGTTGACATGCTCGTCTGTACATGAGAATCAAGGTGAAAGAAATGCATAACCGAATTGCTCAAATGTTCATAATTTCTTGGTGAGAAAAGAAAAAGAACTGAAAAGAAAACAACAATGCATCAACATTTATTATTCATGCAGAATTATTTCTATTGGGTATTGACATCATTTCGAGTAGTTCGCCAAAGAGAAAATTGTTATTCTTCGACTGTACATTTGAATTATTTTCTGTTTTAATAAATGCAGCCGTTGAAAGACATTTTATGCAAACAAACGACTTTCTCTTCCAAGAGAAGAATACATATGTGTTAATCATCTTGCATTTACTCGTCGGGCATGACTTTGGATGTGTTCGAGAGCGAGTCGTTTGTGAACAATTGAAGTAATTATTTTTTTTCGATTAACTCGCAGCTCGGTAGGTTTTTCCTCTCGATCTCCGCTGTTTTTTTACGCGTCAAATATCAACAACAGAAGCAGATTAAATGAGAAATCGACGGACAGATTTGTTTTCTTCTTATTATGAAAATTCGAGTTTGCTGATCGAACTTAATTTCATTTACTGCATCAACCGAATTGCCGCAAGCCGTACTCAAATTCGAGTAGAGTAAAATGAAATCTTTTGAATTAACTTAGCTACTTGATTGATTGTTTTCATATTATGCATGAAATTTTTTGTTTGAATACGACGGCTGTATTTTTTTGTCATTTCTGTCTTCGATTCCTTCGGTATATATTTATGAATAATAGTACATTGTAGATTTGTCCGAATAAGAGAAAAAAAAACGGAAAGAGAATCGGAGATGATTTGTCTACGAGTAGAATTGTGAAATCATTTCGTTTCTTTCCACAACGTAAACATACCTGCATAATAAACAGAATATTCATTACTGACACATTCAAAGCATTTATAGCAACCATGAAATATTCAAATACAGTCCTAATCATTCTGATCTATCTAGCGATTTTCATGTAAGTATTTGCCAATACACTTTTCGCCTTAGAACTATGTCCTTTACTTTTCTCTCAATAGAAATCGAACACAGCAACAAACAATCAGTGGGTTTCTGCCTATGACTATTTTCTTGTTATTCATGTCAATGTTTTTGTTTTAGTCAACATAACAATAACAACATGTAATGATTTTTCATGCAATCTTCGACGAACTCCATGTTCAACTAATCTTGACTGTGAATGTTTTGCTCAAGCATCAAATTCCAGCACAGGCATTTGTGCTTCAGCAATGATATCTTGTTCAAGCCTTCCGGCTTGCGATATGAATAATCGAACATGTTCTTATGATGGTACAGTATGTGTGCAGAATACACGTTGCGGTGAACCAGTTTGCTATCCAACACTTCTAGCAAGCACTTTGATGTGTCCACCTCTACCGACAAGTAAGATACATTTAATCTGATTATTGCCACTGATGTTCAAATGAATATTTTCTTTCGCAAAATAGCGACAACGAGCACGACAAGTACCACTAGCACCTCAAGTACGACTAGTACCTCAAGCACGAGTAGCACTAGTAGTTCGACCAGTTCCACCAGCTCCACTTCTTCTACTAGTACCACTAGCACAACGAGTACAACTAGCACATCAAGTACGACTAGCACATCAAGCACAAGTAGTTCTACTAGCTCCACTAGTTCTACTAGTACCACTAGTGTCACCAGCACCACTAGCGTAACTAGCACAACAAGTACGACTAGCACATCAAGCACAACCAGCTCTACTAGTTCCACCAGCTCCACCAGTTCTACTTCTTCCACTTCCAGCACTTCCACGAGTACCACCAGTGCCACCAGCTCTACTTCTTCCACTTCTACTAGTACCACTAGCACAACCAGTGTCACTAGTGCCACCACTTCGACTAGTTCCACCAGCTCTACCTCTTCCACTTCTACTAGTACCACCAGCTCTACCTCTTCCACTTCTACTAGTACCACCAGCTCTACCTCTTCCACTTCTACTAGTACCACTAGCACCACCTCCTCTACTTCCACCACGTCGACTAGTTCCACCAGCTCTACGTCCGCCACTTCTTCTACTTCTACGACATCCACTAGCTCCACCAGCTCCACCAGTTCGACTAGCTCTACTAGTTCGACTAGCTCCACTAGCTCTACCAGCTCCACTAGCTCCACCAGCTCGACTAGCTCCACTAGTTCTACCAGTTCCACTAGCTCCACTAGTTCAACTACCTCAACAAGCACAACGAGTTCTACCTCAAGTACGTAGAATTTCACCGTTTCTACCGACTAGAAGGCCGGTGTTCAACACTCTATTGGTTATTTTTTCTTATATAGCTACAACAACAACAACAACAACTANCCACTAGCTCCACTAGTTCAACTACCTCAACAAGCACAACGAGTTCTACATCAAGTACGTAGAATTTCACCGTTTCTACCGACTAGAAGGCCGGTGTTCAACACTCTATTGGTTATTTTTTCTTATATAGCTACAACAACAACAACAACAACTACCACCACTACTACGACAACTACGGCCATACGTAAGTAATATTCGTCAATATTGATGATCTCAGCTTAAATATTCTCACAGCTGGATGAAAACGGAGCACGAGTTAGATGTACATGTCGAATCTTAACTAAACGGATTCTCTTTGAGTCAAGGCTATACTCATAGACGAATAGAAATTATGTAAAAAATTACCTTTTTTTTATAAATTGTTATGTATTATCAACAGCAATCTATCGTTTAGCTTGTGCATGGTCACAATGGGTCAGTAGTCCGTGCAGCGTCACATGTGGTAATGGCGTATATAGACGGCAGCGTAACTGTATTGACACAACTGGTGTTTCTTGCGATAGGTGCGAGGAGCCGTCAAGTTCAATCAATAGCACTCGGCCATGTTTCTATCCTACTTGTTAACAGTTATAACATAATTATTGAAATCGTTACAGAACAATTATCTGTGAACTACACAGATATATACATATTCTCTTTTATTTTTCTTATCGCGTCTATTTCTTTTTCTTCCTGATTTTCACTTTTTTTTCTTTTGTACTTGTTTTTGTGCCGCTTTATTCTATTTTACTTGTGTTCTACATAACATGCACTGAAAACTCCACCATGCTTTCATCGGTTGTATATCAGCATCAATATTAAACCCAGTGTGTTAACAGATAACAGATGGATTGATTTGCAGTTATTCGGTATGACCGAAATTCAATTTTGTTGTGGAGAAAAAATTGGAACGAACTTCAAGTATTTTTCTGTAATGGTCATGTTGCTAAGCAAACAATGAAGCACGAAGAAAAATCTTCGTTTTAGAATTGCAAACAATAATATTTTTCCTAGCAAGTAATTTTTATCTCAGAGAGAAATATTTCAAAATCACGAGAAGTGAAACCGTACAAATAAAGAAAACTTACCATAAAAAATCACAATAATGGCTTGATATACCTTAGTGATGACGATGAAAAATGCGTAGAAATATGTTTTTAGGTGAAAGATAAAACCGAGATTATGAACTGTTTCTTGCCAACACTCAAATCGATCCAAGATAGATATCTGAATTTCTATACAATTCCGTATATGTATAGTCAATTTTGTACTTTTTGCAGAAGTTACGATGTTTGCTTTTCAAACTTTCCATCATACATGTCGACTTTTAGCTTTACTGACCCAACGGATTTTCAATACTTCTGTCTCTCGTCATTCGGTGCAGAATCAATCATGTGTATTTCTTCTTTAATGAACAAGTGTACGAAAGGATACTTTTAAACTAATAATATCTTTTTTTTCTGAAGGATTATGTTGTTGTTGTCTGCGATTGTGACATTGTTCAGCATCTCAGATTACAAACCTGTCCTTTGATATCGAATATGTATAAAAAAATATTTTTTTCACTTTCATTTTTTACTGATCAGAATGCAACATCATTCGTTTCGTTATATCGAGCGTCCTAATCCAAGTTACAATGTAGAAGATTTGCCTCGTAAAAACTTCACCAGGTGTAGTATAGTCGGATTATTAGTATTGTCTATTGTTCTGGGTACTGTTCTTGGTGTTGCGATTATCTTAGCTTTCGTGACTGGACTACAAAAGAATGGTTCAGTATCTGTACATCTCAAAAACGTTTCTACATATCCACTCGATGAATCTTGTTTGTGTGGATGTTCAACTATTGAACCAGTATTTGACAATCGTACTAAAGGAACCGGACGGATTATTAATGGTGAAACAGTACGTGAACATTCATGGCCCTGGCAAATGCTTTTGATTATCTATGATTTGCATCGTCAACCGTTGACATTCTGTGGAGCAACGTTGATAACTGATCGACATATACTAACAGCAGCACATTGTGTTCATCAATTCATGCCTCCGTTTATCTTCGTTTTTCCGGGTCAACATCAATTGAATATGAGTATTTCACCTTCGTTAGGCTATCCGGTTACACAAGTTTTTATTCACGAACGTTATAATGTTTTACTTCAGCATGATCTGGCGATTCTCACCGTTGATCAGCCATTTCGTTTTGATTCACATCTTCGTCCGATTTGTTTAGCAACGTCGAAGTCACCTCTTCTACAAACGAATGACGAATTAATTGCTATTGGTTGGGGTCGCATTTCTGCTCAACCTGGAGCCAATATTTACGCAAATGACCTTCAACAAGTGGAATTATCCTACATTTCCACTTCACATCCAAACTGTTCGGAAATCTTTCAGCCGATCGTCGGCCTTCACCCAGGACAAATGTGTGCAGGAAGACCGAAGCACAACGCTTGTTACGGTGACAGTGGTGGTCCATTGATGCGAAAGATTCTCTCGCCTCATAACGACAGTTATCATTGGGAACAAGTTGGTATCGCATCGAAAACAATCGATTGCGGATGGAATTCTACATGGCCGGATATTTACATTGACATATCGTACTATTACAATTGGATTATGAAAACAATAGAACATACGAACTAGCTCCCATATATGTGACTGTGTGGCCAATATTTTTTTCTTTCGTTCTGTTTGATTCTCTTTCTCGCAAAGGATGACTCATGTACCACTCAGAATTTCACGATTTGTGAGATTGGAGAAAACAACATTGCATCACATGTAACTCTGACTTGTTTGTTGTGCAAGAAATCAAAAGAGATATAAAAAGATCTATTTGCACTACTTCCTGTCATTCTTTCGGAGTCATTGTCGAAATTCGCATGACTTCCTCGTCTGGTTATATCACTGAATTCAATCCCGAAACGAATTACGGTCTTATTCAAACAGATGATGAAAGTAATAAGCGTTGTTTGAAATTTCATCTTTACAGTTTGAAAAAGAACTCACGACGATATGTGAACGAAGAAGGTTCAACATTTGTTGGTGAATTGTTCGACTTTCATATAGTGCAACGTCTAGACGGAACAGAGGATGAAGCAATCAACATCAGACATCGTGTTTTGATGTGTCCAATTCCAGGATGCGCACGGCTGAAAGCATTTACCAGCAAGAACTCATTAGACGTACATGTTCAAAGCAAACACAATCAGGAAAAGAAAAGTTCACTGCAAGTTGATGAGATCAAGCCGAAACCACCAAAGCAAAAAGGTATGAGATATTTAAATTAACATATGTTCTTATTCTAATATTATTTTTTAGCAAAAAAGGTGGAACCATTCATAATGAATTTCAGTACTACATCAGCAGCTGTTATTGGTCGTTTTATTGGCAAGCAAGGTGTTAACTTGAAAGAATTTCAAAAAGAACATAAAGTTGCGCTGAAAATCCTCACCAGTACAAATGCACTTGTATTAGCACACAATCCTAAAGTACAAATCCGAGTGAAGCCGCTGAAAGTCAATGTCAATGTTACTGAGGTCAATCTCAAACTGAAATCTTTATGGGAGAAATCAGTACGTGAGCAACAATACGAAGAGAATCAATACCAGCGAGCTCGATTCAATCGAACACAAATACGACTGGAACCCGTAGCACAAGTTAACTTTGATAGTGATACAAGACGGCAACGAGCCTTTACAATATCTGGTGATGATTCAGTACGACGACGACCAACAAGACACAGACATACAGAAGCAATCTCAGTAAAACAACGAGCGAGATCATCGTTGGCTTTAGAAGGACATCGATGTGCAGCAACAGGAGATCTTCAACAAGGTGGAACGAAACCAGTTCCTTTTCAAGAGAAGAAAAAAGTCGGCATGAAAGACAAACAATGGTTAGTGAAGGAACAACTAGATGATCTGTCATTCCTAGATGATTAATATCTGTAGATACTTTTCTGTTCGCTTTATTTATCTTAGAATAAAATACACACTGTCGAAGCTCTATAAAATCACACATTGCCCTTGAGTAATTGATCTTGGACATTGGCACCGCTGTTCAATCGGAACATTTTTCAATGCTTGTTCTATATGTTGACCGCAACCTAGACGGAAATGAGAATATACAGTTGTTTGTACTACGCGAATTGATGTGTACAACCTGCCCAGGTTGGCTTGTTGCATTTCGAGCATGTTGTTTGGTGGCACATTTGCAATTATAAATATGTGAATGTACCTATTTGACAAACTTGGCAATTATTGCGAAGTACAACACTATTAGAAGAACGAATGAACAAATCAAGAGAATGCGCAACAAGTGAGGAACGTACACGATCGACATCTTCTGAAAGGAATATACGTGTTGAGAATATGGGTGCGTTGTACTTTAAAACGTTACTGTTTGTGATTTATTCACTTTTTGAGATCAGTTTCATAAATATGTTAGCGGCCATTGGCGTTCTACAGTTGCAAAAAAAACTCACACGAAGACAGTACAGATAACGTTTATTTCGTTTTTTTTTACATAAGCCGTCTCTCTTGTTAAATAACCATATGTAATGTGCATGGCAAGGCAATTGTTTTTCTTAACAAGAAAAATATTCGTGTACATACAGTTATATAACTCTTCAAACAAAGGTTGTACGAGAAATTTTCACTTTCTTCAACACTTCAAGGCAACGATTCGCAACGAAGAGCGCTGACACTTTTAAATTATTCAATAACAGAACGTTTTTCCAGATTTGACTTTCTGTGGGACGTTTAAGTCAAGCCACGCTTTTTGAAAATATTCTAGTCACAAGTTTCAAAGTCACTTCGTATGTTGTACATTGTGATCGAAAACAGTGATGAAAAATATGCATCAGTATTGCTGCAGACCAAATTGAAAGAAGTACTCTATCAATATTTTACTTTTTTGTACTATTGGTTAATAGACTTCTCACGAAGTACTTTAGCTTCGTGTATTTCTAATCGTTCATCATTAGAGTTACGTCAAAGTCATACTAACAGAAATTATCTACAGCTGAAGCGCTGAGTACGCCGTATTCAATATATTGAAATTCTTCATTGATCGTATTTGTCATTTTATAGGCGGAGAAAAGCGAAACAAATACAAATACTGTCTTTTATATAACGTACGATGAATCACAGTATGAAAGATAGGAATCTTTCCCGCATGCATTCTTTTCTGTCTTTCTACTTTAACTGGATACCAAGAGAAACTTTTATACCGTAGAAAAATGCCTTAGATCGATATTTAATGAAAGGTAGATACACAAACCTAACAATTTCCAAAATATGAAATAAAAAACATTGAAATACATTGATAGTTATTAGTCATCCCTCTCTATTACAGTCCATGCACAAGCGTCAAATTTTTTCGTTCTTTGTTTTTCTCTTCTCTATTTGCACTGTCTACGGCACGCACTAAAAACATCATACTCAGATTTGAATAAAGTTGGAAAGAAAGAAAACCAAGTGCGTATATATGAGCAATGTCTTTTTCCTTCGAAATTAATCCACGACTTTTGACCGATCTTCCTCCTCCTCCTCTACCATCCCATCAAACTCTTCACCCAATCTATGACTACCAACAGCATCCACTCCTACCTCTTGAACAAGCTTGTCAACCACTCCACGATATTCTCGGCACCGAACTACAACTCTACATGACGATCGCCAATCTCAACTGTCAACAGCCCAAACATGGCCTCACACAAGATGAAT